TCTAATATTATGTTGAACAACCCTTTACTCCAAAAACTTAAACTATTGGAAAGGGTTATAACTTAGCTCTTTATATTTCAATAGGCTGTCCCATTGACCAAGAAGAGGGGCCTTAAGGCTTTGTAACTCTTTCATGGGGAATCAAATTTCATGAATGAAGGTTAAAACTTCCTCTTCTAGAAGGGAAACATTTTGGGTTTTAATTGTTTTTTTCTTTACCAGACAAAAACATGTTGCAAGGGTTTCTCCTCTTTTGATTGCTGCAATTATGAGAAGATTAATCTCTATAAATTGAATTAGAAGAAGATCAAGAGCTTTTTAAAGCACAAAATCAGCTATAATATATTGAGTTGCGTGTTTTAGTTAGGGCCATGCAACATGCTTAGGTGTTGTTTGGGATGATTAGTAATAGTGCTTGTAGGACTTTTGATTTAACTTTGAACAAAGAAAGTATTACTTTCAAATAAGTTAAACATAATTCCATCATCTCACCCCTACCACCCTCTTTGTCACCGCCATCACCATTGTCACCACTTACCACCCTACCACCACTATCATTACTCATTGCCGCCACCATTGCCACTTACCACCTGTCGCAATCACTAACACTACCACCACAACCACCACAAACATCGCCTGCCACTGTCCCCACCACCATCTACCACCAATGCTTGTCACTGTCCCCCACTCAACACCACCTCTCAATGCTGCCACCACCCACCACCATCATTGTTGCCACATATGTGTGTGTGTGCACTCAAGATTATTTTAGTAAGTGTGACAAAAATAAGTGTTTTCTCGTTGACCATCCAAAATACAATTTTTTTTAAAAAGTAATTTTTGTGTTAATTGTTTTTTATTGTGAACATTCATACAATGCTTATTTAGTAACAGTGTTTTTATAAATTATTTTTGATAAATACTTTTTTACTAAGTACTTTTTGAATTGCATTATTCATCCCAAACATGACCTGGATATTGGTATTAGGTTAACATTTGTATGTATAAAAGGGCATGTGTAACTCGAGTTAACATTTGTATGTATAAAATGGCATGCATGTGTAACTTATGCATTTAGGTTACAAGAGTTGAATGAGGCATTTAGAGACTCCTGGCATGTAATATACAAGTGTTCTTCTGAGTAGAGGTACAATTTGGGTATGCCAATTCAAATTCAATTTGAACCCAACCCAAGAAAAACAAGGCTTGCGTTGAGGTTTTTAATAATTGGGTTGGGCTTGAATAGGAAAACACAAATTCGAATTAAATTCAGGCAATACTCGGATTGAAGTCTCGAGTTATCGGGTTCAACCTGAATATATAAATCGGGTTCAATCCGAATGAATAAATTGGGCTCAATCTGAATTCTAAATTGTGCTCAATCCGAATTCTAAATTGGGCTCAACCTGAACATATTTAAAAATAAATATATAAATTAATGTAACAATAAACTTACAAGTTAAAACATTAGGGATCAATCTTTTGGTTCAGTCTTATGTTAAACATTGATTTTTATGTTTTAAATACTATGGTCTTTATGTTAAATATTTGATTGAAATTATTGATTGTTACTTTAAGTAAATACTTGATCGGTTTTAAATGAACTCAACTCGAATTCTAATTTGAAATCAATCTGATTTACGTAACCCGAATCCAATTCGAATTTTAACCCAAAATTTGTTCAAATTAGGTAATCCGAATTCAACCCGGGCAATACTCGAGTTGATGTTGGGTTAGGGTTGCGAATTATATACCTAGGGTTGACCCCTCAATCCGCCCGAATTGCACCCCTTTTGAGCGTCCTCAAGAGTATTTTTATTTTGAGTGTTTGGTTGCGTGGTTTCGATTTTACTTTCTTTCTTGTTTGTGTAGGTTATCCTTGTGTGCGTTGATCGTGTCCCTGTGCCCCTCAATCTGCAATAAAAGCCTTTTGTGGGAATATGAGAAGCAAGGTGCGAGCAAACATTCTAAAATGTGCACAACCCATTGGAAGGAATATTTAAGTGGCCAAAATCCATATTTTTGGCATAAAATATACGACAATTGGAAATTTTGTATATAGAACCTAGATATTCTCTGATGATACCAAGAATATATTCACATACTGAACAAGTCTACAAAACAACAGGTGGATTGGCTGACCTAATCTTGACATGTCCGACTTAATCTATCAGGACCTGCTCAGTCATGACAACAAAGCAACTTTGCAGTGTCTAGAGCCATTCCGTATGTATTGGCAAAAGGATAGAAGAGGAATTACACCATAAAATCTTACTTTGGGAATGAAGAATCCATCTCTAGAATGCCATGCCATTTCTAAGTAAGAGTGCCTCTAACCAAATATCCTAACAAATTAGGATCCCACACCATCATTGCTTGGGAAGCACACTACCCTATTGTATAAATAGGCAGACCGTTGCCTTGTCAAAACAGAGTCTGCAATTGTAATCTCAATAGTATAACCTTATTCTTCTCCAAGTAATACAAACCAGAGGAACAACAACCTTCATTACAGTGGACTTACTTAACTCTTCAGTTTAGTGGATTATTTATTTCCTTGTATTCTTGTTTACTGTTATCCCCCCCCCCCCCCCCCCGCCCCAAACACACAACTCATTCATCACTTGTAGAGCTCATTCAACTCCCATTGCTCATTCCTCTAATATTTTTTATTTTAATTATATTCTTGGCGAGTCATCCACTAGCAATAAGTGAGAAATTCACTTGTATACAAAGTCATACTTGAATCATGATAAATGATTTGCTAAGAAGGAACAAATTATCCTTCATTTATTTATGAGTTACTAAATTAGTAAAATATTTTTTTATTCCAAATTTTAAAATACTTGGCAAAACCCTATTGAAAAGAATATTTGAGTAACCAGAATTTTAATTCTGATAACGTATTCAAACTATATCCGTGGTAAAAGTTTAGTTTTGTAAAATCGTCTAAGATTTTAGAAATTATGACGAAACCCCTGACGTTTAGGGTCAATTTACGGTCAACGTTGCTCTTTCAATTGTCCATTAATTGACCTTGAATTTTTTTTTTTAAAACCTACAATTTTAGACTTTTTAGGATTAAAAGTGTAATGAGATTAGATCTATAATTTCAACCGGTATAATAAACCAAATGAATTACAAAGATAGGTATAAATCAGTTTGAATCACTAGTTTGATCTATTTGCCAATATTTGAAAAGAGTAAAAAAAATCTTAATTTCAAATGATTAACTAATTTTTTTTAATATACTTTCCAAATAAGATTAGAATTACAATTAATATGACATTTAAATTTCCTATTTAGTTAATAAACAAATTTGGTAAGTTTTACCATTTAAGGACGGAATCATAACATTCCTCAATGAATAAATAAGAGAAAAAGGAAGGTTGAGCTAAGGCACCTGCCCTCCATGTGCTACCCCTATTAATTTCTTCCAAAAAAAAAACTACTATTCTTTCTTTAATTCCTATTAAGAACTTAACCCAACCAGAACATTATTAGTAATTCGTCTTTGTGCTTGCATATAAGCTTGTTTTAATTGCAGAAATAAAGCTGGCCAGCTTAATGTTTGAATTCCATTGTCCCTTGGCTTTGTCAATGGTTGCTATTGCCCAACATGTGTTTGATAAAATGTATCAAAGAATCACAACCCCTGATGCATTAACATTTAATTTGGGCTTTGATATTGCAAGATTAGTACACACTACAACAAAAATTATTTTTTGCGACGATTTATTTCGTCGCTAAATTAAAAAAAATCGTCGGCAAAACTTTTTTGCGACGTTTTTTTTTCGTCGCATGTTCGTCACAACAGATTTGTCGCAAAAAGTATCTCGTCGCCAATAATAAAAAACGTCGCTAAGAACTATTCCAGTAACGTAAAAAATTAAAAAAAATTGTCGCAAATAAATTTTTTATAAATAAAATATTTTAAAAAATAATTAAATTAATATTTCGCAACGTAGAAAAATCGTCGCGAATAAATTTTTATATAAATAAAAAATTTAAAAATAATAATTAAATTAAAATTTCGCGACATAATAAAATCGTCGCAAATATATTTTTCAAAAATAATAATTTGAAAAATAATAATTTAATTTATTGTTAGCGCCATAAAAAAAGTGTCGCCAATAAATTTTTTAAAAATAAAAAATTTTAAAAATAATAATTAAATTAAGTTTTTGTGACGTAAAATAATCGTAGCAAATATATTTTTCTTAAATAAAAAATTTAAAAAATAATAGGATAATTGTATTTTAGCGACATAAAAAACCGTCGCAAATATAAAAATCGTCGCAAATATATTTTACATAAATAAAAAATTTAAAAATAATAATTTAATTAATTTTTAACGACATGAAAAAATCGTCACAAATAATTTTTTTAATAAAAAAATAAAAAAATAATTAATTAAATAGGACTGTGGATGCGTACACAGCTGCATTTGAATTATGAAATAGGAGCTGGAAAAAAAATTGATTTCATTCATATTGAGTTGTAATCACACCATTCAAATATTTAATAAGACTAAGAAAAGGAAAATTTTATTGATTAAACAAACAATTACAAGGATCAAAGAACAAATTTGTTTGAAAGAATACAAGAAATGACTTTAATCCTTCGAGATGATTAAAATCATTTTTAACTACTTTACTGCATCCTTTTTTTTTTTTTTTGAAAAAAAAAAACAAATGCCATTGATATAAACCTAGATGACAAGAAGCAAAGAAGCAAAGCCTTAATAGCAAATGAAAAGCCGTAGTTGGCTTTAATCCTTCAAAATAAAGGCAAAGAAAATTCACCATAAGCGAAAGGCATTAAGGATCAGCTGAATGGCGCAAAAGCATGAAAAACGGCTGAAATACCAGCTGAAAATCCAGCTAGAGAAACATTAAAACCAGTTGGAAATCTAGCTGAAAACCAGCTGAGCTGAACCGAAGAGCACCTTTTAATAACCAGTGCAACGAGCAACCAGAACAACCATCATGAAAACAGCACTAGAAAGCAGAGAGAAGGGAGTGGCCCAAAACAGTCCTACATTGATCCATAAAAGCCAGCAAAGGAGGATAACCATCAGCTGGAACCTGGAACTGCAGAAAGGCGCAAGAAAAAAGAAGACCAGCTGAGAGTGTAGCTGGAAATCCATAAGTGACCAGCTGAAAAACAGCATGAACAGAGATAGCCCAAGGAACAACGTGAGCAGATCCATCCAAAGCAAAATCCCCAGCAACATCAACAGCCAGAAACAAAAGGCCCAAGAAAACCAGCTGAAACCAGCTGAAAATGCTGCTGGAAACCGTTATAACCAGCTGAAAAGGGGCAAAGAAAAACCGCAAAAAGCCCACAGTAGCAGCAACCATCAATGAATACCAAAAGGCAGCTGAGAAAGCATGGAAACCAGCTGAAAAATCAGATAGAAAAGCATTTGTGATCCAGCTGAAAATGCAGTTGAAAGCAGCTGAAAGATCCCACAGCAGCAGCATCCGAACTGTACACGTGAACAGTCACGTGACAAGCCAAAATATGCAGCAGCCACCATCATTCAATCCCAAAAAACATGGATCAGCTGAGAGGATCAGCACCTCAGAAACAGGCAGCTTTCAAACCACCCCAGCAGCAAAGAAATCCATTGCATCCTAGAACCCCAAGCTGGAACCAAGAAATTAGATGAAATAGCCCGAGTGGCATGAACAGTGTAACCCAAGTGACATATGGGTGAAGCTTCCATTAGACCCATGGTCAAAATCCAAAATGGCGTGAACAGAGCCAAAAGGAAGCAGTCTGATGAAAAAAAGAAAAAAGCCAACAAGAGTTGGCTTTAATCCTTCAATATGAAAAGATTCCTAAAATTAGAACCAGGTAGAACCTTACGTAAATACTGCCCAGAACATGAGAAATACACTTTCCCCAAACTGAAACTGAACATTCAACACTGCCCAGAACACTAAGCAGCAAATGCACCTCCAAACAACCACTGCATCACTGTACTGCATCTTCTGATCTTCACATTCAGCTCCTGGAATCTGTCCAGCTACTGAGCATGCTGTTTAGTACCTTTGAACCAGACAGATTCTGGCAGACACTTCGTAGCCTTCAAAATGCACAGGCAACAAACATCTCCAATGCACAACATCACCCTGGCATCATCCCAGCAGCTATCCTCAAACCCTGCACAACAGTGTAGCAGAAACGCAGCAGATACAACCCCATTAAACTGCCTGCTCCATTCAATATACCTCCTGAACTGATTCTGCTAAAACACATCCAGCTGCAAGCAGTACCCACAAACAGAAACCAAGGGTCATTACAAAGGCAAGGTACCCTTAATAACAACCTTTCTACTGCACTAGGCCTGAACACCTTAGCCTGCATTCTCAAAACCTCACAAACTCTTACAAAAATAGCGCCAGTACATAAATAGCCCTCATCATAAACTCTCCTACATGATCAATAGGTGCATACATACAAATTATTTGTGTTTTGCAAATAGCAGCTACAAGGAATAATAAAAAGCAAGCTGGTCTGTAAGCTGATTGAATTGGTAGGACTAATGTATTCAGTAAGAATACTGTAGTGGGAGGGGCTTAAATATAAAACAATGTTGAAGTGGCGTGATTTAAAAAATAATGACTCAAAACCAGAATAGGTATGCTGAATATTTAGCATCAAATAGTGCATACCTCACCGTGACGCCCTTTGGAACAATTTCGTCCATTTTACTGTGACAAATGCTGTATAGCCCAACAAGTTCTTTCTGCATAGATATAACATATTAATTCATGACTTCATGATTTCAATCCAAAATTTGGCATGGCCATAGACAGCTGAACTAAATTGTGCACATATATTTCTGGTGAATACTAGGACTCCTTAAAAATTATTGTAACACATGCAGCAACATTGTTAATTCATTTAACATATAAATCATTTGTGTCAAGGATTCATCATATAGAGGTTTAATTTTCATTGGCCAGAAAAGTGACCTAGTTTCTTCATAGGGGAGTCAAGGCCCCTAACTAATCGATGTACAGGTTAGGCAAGAGTAATTCCATTTAACATTTCTCTAAGCACAAGGATTGCATCCCTGGTTTTTAAAACCTCAGAAGAAGGATTCACTGATAAAGAGCAAGCAGCTATAAACAACCTGTAAATTATAAGTTTACTAAACATATTTGAAGACTTTTGAGCTGTATGGACACCTAAAAGACTTGCAATAATGTAGAAGACGTGCAATCTGGAACTCTAACTTTCATTGTTGCTATGCACTCCATTTGCTTACTTTATGGTGCAATTATATTCTAATCAATTAAGAATCAAGTACACTTCAAACAAAAGTTCGATATGCATACTGTGCCATTGCCAAGAAAAGATTATAACTAATTGTGTGCACACTTGGTGGAAAAGGCATTTACATAGCCATGAGTTGCCAATGTGTATTCATTCCAGACCCAGATTTAAGGGAAGCCGCAGTTAAATAACTGAAAAATGCACAAAAGTAGCACCTCATCTGAACTGACTGATTGATCTAACAAAGATGAAGTGCTTTCGATAGCAACTTTTTGAACATGCATTCCATAAACACGACCTCTCTTTGACTGATCAGCAACCATTTTGAGCATTGCCAAGGTGTCATACCCATTTCCACAAGTGGCATCAACAACCGCATCCCCTTTCCAGACAACATGTTTCCACACCCTGTTAAAGGAAATAAACACATAAAAAAAGGCATCATTTAAGTGATACTTTGAACTACTTTTATACAAAATATGACTACAGACCTGTTTTAAAGATTAGTAAAATTGATTAATTGAACAATTATAGCAGCAAAAAATTTTCCTAAAGGAGACAGAGGCTCACAAGTCACAACCTTGGGGCATAAATTGTATTGCCAAAAGCCTCAAAGAAGGCTTCAAAAATTTGATAGTATAGTTGTATGAAGAGCAATCAAAATCCAAGGAACATAGCAAATGTAAATTCATTTTTCAAATTCGCATGTTGGACCCATCAGTAGTGCAAGCTGTGCTGCACTACTAATTCTCATGACAACGAGTGAAGTTGATTAATATGGGAGTTTTACTGTTCAACTAACTGCACCAATAGTGAGCTAACACAAAGCTATTGAAATCATTGGAATAAAACAAGAAGATTGAAAGAGCATGAAAGCAGGGTGAAAAAGATGATTCATATTTTTTCACAGTAACTAATACATGCATGCCCATGTTCCATATAACCAAGATTTGAACCCTACACGTACTACTTTGCCAGCAGCAGGAGATACCACTCAAGCTAACAGCAGATGATCCCTCGATAACTTTTTCAACTTTGCGAAAATAGATTTTTAAAAAGCTGGTAGACATATTAATGCAGACAAGAAGAGCGCCAAAAAAAAAAAAAAAAAAAACAAACAAACAAACGAGTGTGGCAAATTTCTAAACAAAACATCACCAAAATTGATGAAACAAGACAATGTGTTCCAATCTTTCCTTGTGTAGGCTCTTAATTTCGTAGTTCATGCAAGCTCATAGATGCAAACTAAGAAACTTAAAACTTTACCACCAAAATTCTTGAAATAAGACAATGTGTTCCAGTCTTTCCTTGTGTATAATTTCTTAGTTCATACAAGCTCATAGATACGAGCTAAAAAACTTAAAACTCTACTAGATTTAGCATGTGCTTTTGGTAATATTGGTGTTTGTTAGGATACAGAATATGACAGTATAAATGCATGAATGAAATGATTGGCTGGATTGGAAATACCTTTTGCATCAGTGCAACCACCAACTCAGGGCTCTCTGGTATTCCATGTTCTAGAAAGGCTTGAAGCATTGTGTATATAGTTAGTGGCTCTTTCTTTTATACCAAACACACGACAAACATGACATAGGATTTAAAGTGAATGCACCAACCAATCCAACCACTCCACCAACCAATCCAACCACTCCCGATATATGGAGGACTATCCAAAATATATCTTAAATAGTTTATTGAAATATGTTCATAAAATGATTTCACATACATTCATCATGCACGAATTGTAAGTGTTGATCCAAAAAGCAAGCTTCTCTTGATGGTTAAGGCCTTGTAAGTCAACCAATGCAAGTTTCCCAAGTAGGAGTTGGAGAAAACAAGAGACACTATATTTAAGCCGAAGCAGATATGAGACATATGAATTCAAATTCTGAGCAAAGGCCCGTAATTTTCGATACCCCTAGCAGTGCAACACTGTGCACCAATTATCCTTTCTAGACAACACATATTAAGATACAAAGAAGACTGCTGTGATGTCTGAATTTTCAGAAGCAACTATACAAAATATAGGACATTTTCATGGTCAACAAACTGTTCATGCTCAGTTTCAAGAGAAAATTCTTGACCAGGTGAGCCATCAATAGTGTCCAGATCTGCAGGCTGGACACTATGCCATAACTGTGTCATAGTGGGTGTTTCCTTGCAAGCACGTGACATAACTTTATTTGGACAGTTAAACACATGAATTAAATTCCTAAAATTTCTGGGTAACACTGAACATGCACATAAATTTGTCGATGAAAAGAAAATTCAGCAAACTTAACTTACTGATCCATTGACAGTCAAGCAAGGACAAGACTCATTTTAAATAGTTTGATCATTTGCAAACAAAGATCAATTTCTTCTGAAGTAGGAAATAATAATGTCCCTTTGTGCAAAATGAAGCCACTATACTCCTTATCAGGATCCTAGCATCAAATAACTTCAAACAGGTGATCATGTAAACATTCGTATGAGCCATGAGCACATATCAACATAATAAATGGTACCTTGAATGCAGGTGCACCCATTTTAACAATCACCCATTTTGTGCGGACCCCTTTCCTGAGCAACTCCTGGGCTGCCAGTATTGGATTTCCTATGCCAGTCAATGATTCAGCCTGACAAGCCATCAACATAAGCTATATTACTAGGATGAAAAGTGAAAATTATACTAAACCGGATGACGCATCATATAAATAACATTAGATACAACAAAAGTTGCCCACACTGCCTTACGGATAGAATTGATGATGTCGGATGTTAGTTTCATTTATTAACGAATCAAATTTACTCTTTCCAGATTCCTTCAAAGGACTGGAAGATAAATATAGACAGGCCGATCCACAGTGAAGCCTTAGACATGAGTATGGATAGTTCATTTAGAGAACTGTATAGTCTTTATACCTCAAAACAATTAATGTTACAGGTGGTGTGGATTGAACAAATTCAGTGAACTTACACACTTTCAATGATCAAATATATTAGGTACCTATTAGCCAGCGTAAAAAATAATTAGAAGTTCATGCAGCTTAAAACAACCACATCATGTTTCAACTAACCAACCTACCTGAAGCTTATAACATTACAAGTTTACCACCTTCAAAACTACCAAACTCTTCCCAAAAGAACAGTGGGCTTTGGGAACATGATAAAATACTATAAAAAAAAAAATCAAAAGCTCTCCTATCCAAATCTAACTAGAGGGTACAGATTGCATAAAGCTATCAATTAGTTCAGGCCAACTTCAGAATTTACACTTCCTACAAAAAATGAGATGGAAACAAAATCTGTAATCCCGACCAGTTGTGACATTAATTGATTCAATATGGTGATGGTTTATTCATCTTTGCAGTCGACACAATCTTCAAAAGATGCTATGATTTGAGCAAAATAAATGGAGGATTGGTGAATAGACTATTCAATTTGTTCAAACATACCAGTCAAATTGGAAGGAAATCAGTAAAAGGCTCGTAACAATATGATACAAAATAAGCAACTATCAAGAGTTAACATGTGCACAAAATGAGGTAACCAAACAAAATATTTATATAGAAGGGTGGCAACAAGCCAATTACAGCAAGGAAATAACCGTGTTGATAAAAGTTGAGGTAGAAGTGATGTCTAACCTTGTCATAACTATCAAAAAGGAGCAATATGTTTCAAGTTAAAAGGAGATGCCAGGACAAAAGTAAAGTTATCAAGGATGCATGTTGAGGTAGTTAAGAATACATTAACGATGACTTTGACAGCAAGAATAGCCATGCACATTATCGGTGGCTAAATCAATTTTCATAATCCATGGAAAATAATTGGGATAAGGCTTAGTTGAGCATATAATCCCCTCAAAAATAAGATACAATGATAGAAGGCTATGGTGAAGGAAAGAAAAGGAATGTGCTCATACAGTCTATGAAGAGTTACAAGTCAAACCTCCTTAGACGTTAGTCGAAGAACATCACTCATCCTCAAGAACTTGTCAAGTGCTCTCTGTTCTTCAGGTGTTCCTGTCACTCGGGTCTTTCCCCCGTGGTCCAGGATAAAAAAAAATGGCTGTCCCAGCTTCAACAACATAATCCAGAACAGAAATAATCAAACAAGGGGATAGTTCATCAAAGCCATAACCATTGCTGAACAGGAGCTTTGATTGCTTAATTGCCATCTTTACTTCAATAGATAGCTTGCTCAGCCAACTGAATGTAGGCTCTTTACAAAAATCTGCTCGACTGATATATAAGCAGAAGGTGTGATGCATCATCCTTTGCTGACAACAATTCATTCAGACATTACTTCTGTCAAAAAAATTGTTTCCCTATAAAATTTATATAAATTTAAAGAAGAAATAAACCTTTAATTGATTACTTATACCTGCAAATAGCATGTCTATGAAAAGGGTACACGAAAACCCAACATTGAAGTGTCTCATATGCAGCACTTGAACTATCAACATTGTCATTCAGGTCAGTCATCCCAACCGTACCAATTCCTTCATCATGAAGAACATCTAAGAGGAAGCGGCACATACATTTCATCACCAACATGACCAATTACAACACATTGAAGTCCTAGTCTTACTGCTACTATGGCCATATTGCAGTTACCACCAGTTTCCCAATATTGCTATGAGCAATAAAAAATTATGTAAATCCTAAACTGTGGTGAATAAGGGAAGAACATAGAAAAACAAACACAGATATTCATCTACAAACATGTATGGACATGTGTATGTGTGTGTGAGAACAGTGTTTTGACTACGGTATACATGAGAACAGTGTTCTGACTACAGGATACAATAATATGCATTAATACAGGATACATGAGAATAGTGTTCTGACTACTGGAAAAAAGAGTGGGGAAACAAATACATAATTAAATACGGTTGTGGTGTGTATGAAAGAAGGAATGGTGTGTATGCTACCAAGTTCAGTAAGAGAGTGTCCACCATAGACATAGTTGTGGTTCTTAACAAATGTCGGTGTAAAAGCACCTGGCATCATTGAACAGCTAAATTTTACTCATATGCTTCATCACAGAAATCTAGTAAGAAAAAGTTCAACATAACTTACTGAAGTTGATTGGTCATCTTCAAACAAATCTAGTGCTTTTTCATATAACTGCATATTTAGGAAAGGCTGGAAGCAACAAATATGTAAGAAACATGAAAAGAAAGTTTAGCTTTAGCATGCCACTATTGCTAAACTACAATGGTAAAATAACAGCTCCAAAGGGTATAGCACAAAGTGGAACCAGAGGTAATCCTTAGATACAAAATGGGAAACTGCCTGGAGGTGGAACACATTATGGTGACAAAGCCACCACTGTATTATGCTTACCTCGTCAAGTCTCTATTGCAAATTATCTAGTAAACGTTTCATTCTCTTTGCATTTTATGTGAATGCAACCTTTCTTCTTTCTTTCCATGAATTGAGGAGCATTGGTCTCAAATGATGTGCTAAAGGAACAAGAATTGTCTCGAGGTCATCTATACCTACAAAGTCACAACACCATGTCTATCAACATCAAGCATAAACGAAATGCCTGATCACCCAAATAATCAAGAAGATAATTGTAACTAAATTCAGAGCACCTTGTGCTTCAAAGTCAGGGACTAGCGCCATGATCTTTTGTTATGTCAGTAATCATTGTTGAATCCTACAGTGGAACCCAAAGTAAAATACATGCATTAGTTTCAATACAAGTGGAGACCAATTGTTCCCACACCTTGTCATCTTTCTCATCGAGTTTCTTGATCTTTTGCTTCATGTGCTTTAAATCTTCACAGTATTTAACATCCTTTCTTTCAAACTCCGTCAATTCATCCTTGCAACACCCATGTCCGCTATCAAGTTCCTAGATTTGAAAACTAAAGTTAAGAAATATGCTTCACTATTGAGTTTGACCTAATGTCAACTAGCATTAGCATGTACAAAAAGGTTTCTAAGACAAGGCATGCATATCTTAAAACCAAAAATTTACTGCAACCAGCTTATTAGACACCACTACATCCAGTAGAGCACTCACGAATACCTGAGAAACAAGAAAGTTTGCCATCTACAAAATACGTCGGAAAGATTATCCAAGCAGAGGCCAGTAAACCAACTGTACAGTCACGTGATACAAAATACCCAAAACCAAATCAACAGCTCCACCCAAAAACTTCCTCCAAACAATTCTAAAGCAACAACCAACTAAGCAAATCACTTTCAAAACCAAAACTAACAACCTGCCAACTGAAATGCCCAGAAGTGGAACACATTATGGAATCATACAATATTTAAATACATAAAAAAAAGATATTTCTTCAGCCACTTTAATGCAAGAGTCCATAATTCATCTGTTATAAAAAAGAAAACAAATACATTAATAAATTATCAATCAAATTTTTCAAAAACACTTAAGTGTTGCACTTAAAATGATAGTAAAAAGATACTTACTAAGACTCAAGTGGCATGTCTGCATTAGTTGAGTTGCCCTGTAGAGTACGTGACAGTTGAAGTTGCATCTGCAAAAGTTGTTGCATCAATTGTTGCTGCGCGTCTTCAAACTTTTGTTGAGCGTCTTCAAACTTTTGTTATATGCCTTCAAACTTCTCTAGCTTTTTTTTCATTTCATCACGTTCATTCTGAAGAGTATCAACAGTTGCTTGCAACTCCTTTATCATATCAGCTTGTTCTCGATACTCAGCAATGCATCTGAATGACTGACTAGAGGATGAAGGCTTTGGGCCATGTCCAAATCCTTTCTTATATCCAGGTCAGCTGCCAAGGACTGTGCATGCAATTTCATCCCGTGTCAATGGCTCTACACGCTCTTCTACGTTCTGTGTGGCCAATTCTTTCATCCGCTCCTACAATTTAATATATTTAAACCCAATTATGGAGTGTATCATAAAAATTTATTTAAAACAAAAAAAACATAATTGTCTACAATTTTAAATACTTACATATCTTGACTTTGCCTCATCAGAAACCCACTCACCCTTCTTGTTCACATGAGAATAGTGAAAAAAGTCAACAATGTGGGGTGGTTCATCAGTCATAGGATTCCTCTGTTACAGTTAATCAAAATATCAATATTCAAATTTATGAACATTCTATATATTAAAATTTAGAAAGCAAATGCTAAAGTATAACACCCTTTCATATAGGGCAGATTGAAAGGACTTTGAACCCATCGAGTGGTTGTATGACAGTTTGGCACGATTTTTCGCATTTTTCTTAGATTTTTCCTATATACAAAGCATATAATTAGTACATAATTGGGAATAGATGTGGATATTAATTTGCATAGCTTATAAAAGTTACCTGAAATTTTGGATCCTTGTAAAGTGTTTCAATTATGTACTCCCAATCCTCCCGACTCACATCACCATATGACTTGCTCTTTGGGTCAACACCGGACTCAACCAAATCTTTGTAGTACATATGCATATAGTATTAATGGTCCCTATACCTCGCAGCAAATTTTTTGTCGACGGCCTTCCTAACACCAACTTTTTCACGATAGTCTCTAATGTTAAATTTTGTCTACAACAAAATATAAATGTACAAATTCATTACAACATGTTGTAACACTCTACGGAAATAAATATAATTTGAAAACCAAACAAATATATCCACCAACCAACAAACGTGCAATGAGTGGTGCCTTCTCCTCTTCAGTTATTTGCTTCCATTTGTGGACATTTTTGATAGCGGCAAACGTCCTCGCCAGGGAGCCAATCTCTGTCATCACCTTCGAAGAATGTACACCCACTGGAACGCTGGCTCCATCAGGAATCAAAACATCTAGCGGGCCATGACCTGCATGAAGACACTCAACATTTTCCCCCCTACACGGTTCTCGTCCTCGTTTCTTTGCAGTAGAGGCTGTTGCGCAAACATTAATAATAGATGTTAGCCAACCATATTAAGATAGTTACGTTTAAAAAATAAAGTATGCATCAAACCTGTACTACTAGCCTCAGTGCTTGCAAGAGGCTGAGATGTAGGTGGATTTGATGACACAGCCCTAACATGTGTACTCGAGGATGCACCCCTAGTAGGTGCATCAGAGGATGCAACCTTACTTGCTATTGTGGTGGCTCAGCGACCTGGTCCTATGTATATGCAACACATGAAATATAGAAATATATAAGTTATATCGACAATATCCAAATATGAACATTATATATAAGTCATAATTTATTAATTACCATGAAAATATCTTAATAATTCATCTACATATCTGACTCTTCATTAAAATCAAAATGGGAATATACATCATCATCTTCTTCTGAATCGACACTCTACTTGTGACTCATTATTGTCATCACATATGAAATCATCAATGTTATTGTTTTCTCTGCTTCCCCAATAACCAATCCGGTCTCGAGGAATGATTTCTGGATCAAGATCAGTCCTATGAAGTTGACCTATTTTATTATCTTCGACCACTACAGGAGCAACCTCTGTTGATTGATCCTGTTGGAATGCATCACTTGGAACATACGATTCATGTTCACTAACTTCTATATCTTCTAACTCAGGAACATCCCATATTCCTCGATGATGTATATGTTGCACAACTTGTCAATTCTTACCCAATTTTGTATCATTAACATAAAATACTTGTTTTACCTACTATCTACTTTTCACATTAATGCTTGTAAAATGAGCATCAGTCTAAACTATTTTCCCATTACCAAGGTTGAACAATTCACATTGGAACAAAAAAATAGTATTACCAAATATATAACTCATCTGTCACACCTTATTTAAGTATCCGTAGAAATTAATTGTTTTGTTATTATGTTCTCCTTCTACAACTACCCCACTATTTTGGCTTTTTCGACAATTATCACACTCTTTAGTGTGGAACCGAACACCATTGTATATTGCCCCAGAGTACAATTTTATTGTCACATTAGGACCATTTGCTAGTGACCATAATTCATCAGTTGCTTCATGTGACCCTTCGCTTCGTAACTGATTCATCTACACACATGAATATGAAAGTTTTTATGGTTTTACAACTAATGCAAATAATGCTTATAATCTAAATTTTTATAGCTTACACGTTTTGCAAACCACTTGGGAAATTCCGCTTGGTGGCGAAGAGTGATGTCACCATTTCTTTCCAACTCTATAATATTTTTGTGTTCCCTACATATAAAACCATAAATTTGACATATAAAATATTTTAAACAATTACAAAGTACAATAAGAATGCTCAAAAATATGTATATTTAACATACACATACTCTAGATACGGATCCAGTTCGGGACTATTATGTAGGACAAACTAATGAGTCATCTCTCGTTCCTGTTGAGAGATCTCAGTTGCTCTTGTAATTCGCCCAAAAGGGCGAATATTTTGGGTGAACACAACTAACTCATGCACATTTTCAACTCGATCTGCATTTCATTCCTCGCAATTAAAAACTGTTTCGATACCAGTAAGATACATTGAGCAAAAGGTAAGACATTCTTTGACAATATAGGCCCCTGCAATTGAACCTTCTGGAAGAGCTCGATTACGAACATATCCTTTTAAAGTTCCGAGATACCTTCAATAAATCACAAAACATATTAGGAGGTAATAACAAAATCAAATGAGAAGCTAATAACAATTTAAAATATCACCTTTCCACTGGGTACATCCACCGATACTGCACTGGTCCAGCAATCTTAGCTTCCCTTGGCAAGTGAACTGCTAAATGCACCATATCATCGAAGAATGCTGGTACAAATATCTTTTCTAACTTACAAAGAAAAAGTATTATGTTATCTTGTAGTGCATCCAAGTCTTTTACCATCAATGTCTTTGTACAAAGTTGTTGCAAAAAATTTCCCAACTTAAATAAAGTGGTACAAATTTCTTTGTCCAAATAACCACGAATTCTAAGTGGAATAAGTCGTTGCAGAAGAACATGACAATCATGGCTTTTCAGGTCTGATACCTTACCATCCTTCGTGCTCACAGACCTCGATATATTTGATGCATATCCATCTGGATACTTAACTGATTTCAAAAATTCGCAGAACCCTTGTCTTTCTTTTGGAGACAAAGTGTACCACGCAACTGGTTTTACATATGCCTCCCCATTCTTTTGGAGGTGCAATTTTTTTTTGATATTTAGGTCCTCCAAATCTAGACGAGCTATATCTATGTTTGTAACGCCCCAAAACCCACCCTAGACGGCATTACAAACTAAAAACCATTCCCATCATGAGAGCAACTAAATAATTCATCCATAAAAAAATTTCATTCATCAAATATATCATTTACCATATTATCTTGAAAGAATAGACCAACCATGGCCACTATATCCAAAAGAATATGTCAAGCTATGACAATTACATTCCAAAAGAATTACATTTAAACTTAACAGCGGAATAAACAAAATACTAGACTATACATGTTCGTAAATAAATTCTCTAGTCTAGCACAAAAATAAACTATAGCTCTAGACGTCCATCTCGAGATCCACGAACCCGTCTAGTGGAGCTTCCAAATGTGTCGATTCCTCAATTCCCAAATCCTCCTCTAGTACATAATCTGAAAAATATAATTTGTAGGGGAGTGAGCATTAAGCTCTGTAGCAACATTCCTCTCAAACTCGAATAAGGTTTAGAAAAACATATAAAAATAGTCGGTCACCTTTCACAAATAACATATATGAATTTCGAAAGAAAACCGGGACATTTAAACAGATCTTAAGTTTAAGCAACAATAATATTTTAATGCATAAGTGAACCCAATATACAACTAATAATCCATTCCATCATAAACCGTTTCTCTCAAGTTCTTGCGGAATCTCATACTTCCCAAAATTCTTGTAAAAACTATTTCTGGTACAATGAACAATAACCCACCACTGTATTCGTATATCAGGTATGAAGTAAGATCTCGCATGGATATCGTCGAAAATATCATGGCCCACATACAACCCACACAAATTTTTTTTTCACAATACCCCGTAAACGATAATGGTTTAGTCCTCGCAAGGCACTAACCCCATTACGAGTGGTAGAAAAAGTTCGTACCCGCACGGAGTAAGAAGGCGTCTA